CCTTCCCCTTCAGCTGGTTACTGCTGAACAGAACTCCTTTTTTCCCTCAAGGTTATTTGAAGGTTAATTTTTTCAAGGTTATTTTCAAGGTTATTTGCTCCATTGCCTTCCCAAAGATCAAGTTGAGGCCGACTGCTCTCAGGTCCTCTTTCTTGTTCTCTTCATGATTTGATAGACCCTTCAGACCTGAGTGGAAAGCAGGAAAAAAACAAACCATTCCACAGAATGGTAGTTTGGCATGTAGTTATATTGAGATTCATATACATAATATATTTAATAATTAATAAACAAAAGAAGTTACCTGTGATCTAGTTAAAAATATCTCCTTGTTTTGCCATGTATTGTTTCTTAGTACTTCAGCTTCCTTGTTTCTGCTAAGGTCAGGGATATTGTATTGGCTTAATTCAGACAAATTCTGAACTTCTGCTGATTGATAACAAACCGTTCGAAGTTTTGGCTCCAGTTGTCCATTTCAAGCAAAAGGATGTAGATATTCTTTAATTGAGACACAGATATATTTCACCAGATTGAAGTTTCTTTTAAAATAGGACTTTAAGCAGCCCCAGAATACTTCTTTTTTCCTGAAGTGCTCTTTGTTTTTCCAAACATTTGATTTGGGCAAAAGTATTTCTTTAAATTGAGTGGCTTCATTGGCTCAAACATGCAACAGAATTAATTTGCCTTAACAAACAGCTTTATGTCAGCTGAACCACAGTGACTGATGTTGAATACATTTTTAACCTATGGCAAATACCAGGTAGAACGTATTAGCTCATACTTTAATGAAAGAGTTGAAGCAAGTACATTTTATCTTGTATTTGTAATGACCTAAGAATGCACATGTAGTTTACTGTAGCTGGGTAAACATATGGTATTATTAAATCCATGCATTTGAACCCTAACTCTTTCATAAAACAACAATTTGGATGAGGCAGTGTCCAATCTTCTTCATTAGGTGTGTGATTTTTAAATGTTTAGGAGCTCATGACTCATTATCTGTCCACCTCTGGTTGTTTGGCTGATGCTTTTGCTCCAGGACTAAATGGTGCAAAAATGACTTTTTGAAAAGTGCAGTAAAAAGCAGTTCACCAGCACAGGTAAATGTTTGGTAGACTTTAGTGATAAAATACTGATGGCTAATGACATGTGCCCATTTGACATGTTGAGATCCAGGTGTCTACAACAGATACCAGTTTTTACAGGGGTGTTTCTCCTCTTTCCTCCTCTCCATTTTACTTTGGTGAAGCATATTTTATTTTTTTTAAAGTCCTATCATTCAGTATGGTTTAGATCACTTCTGAAAGGTATTTTATCTTCTTTCTCTTATCTCCTTCCACATTTGACTTAATGTTGCTGTAATTTTATCTAAATATATTGAACAAGACAATTACTAGATTTTTATTTATCATGGCTCATGATTCTTCAGTGATGAGACTTCTCTCAGAGACATATCTTTATTTTACCCACTGGAAATTATACAAGGCCTGTTAAAGAATCAAAAGACAGGCTGAACAGTGGTTGTTGCTTTCACTCTTTGTTGGTACTTGACCTTTCTTCAGGTGGATGTAACATTTGATTTTAATTCATCCTATGCCTTGTGTCAGCTACTCTCTTTGCTCTGTTCCTGTCTCTTTTTCTTGTTTCCTGATGCTGCTTCCAGTGAATTCCCTGTTGCTTCCTGTTCTCTCCTCCTTGGCTGAGTAGTGCTGAACTTCCGTCAGATCTTTGTCCCTTCCTCTTGAAACAGAGTCTTTGGATTGAAAGAGTCCAGCCTTCTTTTAAAGGAACAGCTGCCAAATAACTGCTGCCTGAGTATCAGTTGATAAGGAAACTGTTGCTTTGTCTCTACCCTCTAAATAATTTCCATGGATGGCTGAGACAGCAAACAAACTGGTGTATTTTGAATATAAAGCTCAGTAAGCTATTGGACTGCAGATGTTGCTGCTCATATATCAGTGGCAGAACTTCTGAGTTACTACAAAAGTGCTTAATTGCCTAAGGACGTAAAGAAAGTTTATTACTCTTTAGTTAGTAAGAAAAGAAGTCCAAGAAATGTCTTGTCTCAACAGACTTTGTGAAATAGCATGACAGTTAATCTTGTTATGACAGGCTGATGATGACCATTTGAGATTAGAGATCATCCTCAAATACTCTTTACTATACATTGTTTTTTTTTATGCTTCAATGCTAGTAATTTTGATGGCTGCCAGAGAGCTTCTTGAAAACTTCATCCTCTTTTTGCTCCTCCCTCCACATGATTCAGCTGGTGGTGTCTGATATAGCCAGCTGTAAGAGTAATATGAATAACAGGCATTTTATGTTGTATGTGTAGCATAGCTTCAAATCCTCATGCATGGCTGCCCTGAACTTCTCCATGGACTGACAAGTGCATCTACTAAAAGAGTGGCTCTATTGTGCTAAAATCATTACAGAGTAGGATTTGAAGGAAGATTTCACTAGATCATGAAAATGTGAGATGTGTGCCCAACATGAAAATGCTAATATGGAAATCAAAATATGTTTTGGAAGAAGAATAAAGTAGGTCATTTCCATATCATGAAGGAGCACAAAGGAGACAGGTTCCCTTTGAAGTATTTCTGTGGAGAATATTACATATGAGTAGACATGTTACTGCGTATTAGATCAGTCCAGTTTAACCGAAGCTTTCAACATTTGTTTGTACATAGTTTTCAATCAGTGAGAAATTATATCAGACTTGCAATGGTTTACTTTTCCTTTCTCTTTTGTTCTAACAGCTATCAGCTCACTATATTATACATTTATTTTATAATGACACACTTTAAACATAACAATAATATTTTTGCTTTTGGTATTTTCTGATTGATGTTTACCCATGACTTCTATAGGTCTTTTGATATTTTATGAAGCCTTCAGTTAATAGGTATTTATATGCTTGTGAATTGAGTAGTTATGAATTTTCTTAGCAGCATTTCAGCAACTGGTATCTCTGTGTATGCAATATTAAACACAAGTGTATAAAGCTAATGTGGTAGCAGAAGAAAATAGAACTTGCCTTCTTCTAAGTAAGATATGATATGGAATATTACATGTTTTTTATTCTAGTATCGTAAGTTATGAATTTGAAAGACTAAAAAATTTAGATATGTTTTTTAAATGAAAGGTTGATCAGTATAAGAGGAAAAGAAAATAATAAAAGACAATTATTATTATCCTTTTTCTGTTTCTTTTCCTTTGAAGCATTAAGGCCATGAAATTAGTTTTGTTCTCGTAATGCTGAATCTATTTACTAATATACTACCTGAAAAATTATGTATCATTTATGAAACACATTATTTTGAGCTGGAAAGGATCCCCAGGGATCACCGAGTCCAACTTTTAATAAGAGTCGATGGTCTGTGTCTTTGAGAGCTGAAGGAGTCTAGCATTCTTTTGGTTTTTTGCACAATAATGATTTTTACAATTATTGAGAAGAATTTAAAACCATACTATGTGATTCCTTATTGAAAATGAAGCTTGGTAAGCACAGTAAAAAGTCTTTTAATAAGTACTCAGACTTAAATATGTTATTTTTCCTTAAAATGGAAACATTGTAGTGTTATGGGCTGGAATAAGATAAGAATGTGAAGCTAGCAAAGTCCCATCTAACGCTGTGGACTAAATTCACTCAGGTGCATATTGCAGGATTCTTTCAGACTGCTAGGTCTCAGTGCTATGTTAGGAAAGAATTAGATGTGTGCTGTATTTTGCATGTCCTGGTTTTGTTCTAAAGGGAGTCAGAATGCAGCAACAGAAAAAAGTTGCAATATGTTCTGGTAACTTCCCTCCTAGGAGTGATCACAAGATGAGTGCAGGACAAACCAGGGCTTTTCTTCCTATGTCCTCTGGTCTCTGCCAGAGAGACAGTTTTGTTTCGTGGGGCTGAATTGGTTGTAAGACAAGTGAGTTACATGTCGCTAATACTAAGTTATTCCACTGGTTTACTGTAGTATGATAGAACAGGTAAGGAGAAACTTTACTTCATATTTTTTAGATTAACGGTTATTTACAATACCAAGCTGGTTTACTATACAAATCTGTGCTAAGCGTTGCAAGATGTTAAATCTAATTCTTAATACTCTATTCTGAAAAAGCTTGCTTTGGTAAAGAAAGGTAAGTGCAATTTACCTTTTCTTTACTGAATTAAAACCAAATATATAATAGATTCTTCAAGCATCTGGGGTCTGCTCTGAAACAATGGCCTTTTCTGTTGTACCAACTTAATGAATATAATTTTTTTCCCCCTCCTAACTGATGCATATGACTAATCCAAACATTTTTTCAGTGTAAAAGTTCTTAGTCTAGAAGTCTTCTTCCTTAGTGAAACTAACTCCTACAAGCTTATAAATACTGGAGCTTTGTGTTATGTGTAACAAACTGAGGTTGTCCTATCTTCCAACTGTATGACTACATCACTTCTTAATATTTTCTGTACTGCTGGGAGTCACAGCATGCACAAATATAAAACAGAGTTGAAAGGCAGTGGAGCTCCAGGAGATATAGGCAACACTGGCTTCACGGCGATTGCTCCACTTCTCTGCAGTAGGTGCCTAGCTGGGCAAAGGGTGTTTCCGAGTCCCAGGGTAAGTTGGTGATGAGAACTCCAGCAGCCCCTGCCAGCTCCCTCCTTCCCACAGCCAGGGGTTTGGATTACCCAACAGCCCTGCCACCAGAATAACCCTGCTGCTGGTCACCTGACATAGCCATGACATAGGAGCTGCATTTGACGTGTTCGCGAACAGCGTGCAGCTCATGACCCACAGGCTGGCTACCCTGACTTACGCACTAGATCTATAGACTAGTCTGTATAGACTAAAGTCTGTATTTCATGGTTTTGATCCAATTGCTGATGGTTGTATGAGCTATACTGCATGTTTTCCAGTAGTGTATCAATATCTAGTGTTGAATTGCATGACTGGTCTAGCACATAGTCTGTACAACATTTGTTTTAATTTTTTGTTTTCTTTTTTCTTTTTATTCAGACAGGGGATTTGGCTTCTGTGCAATTAGCTGGAGCTCCAAACAGATGGGAGGTCTTGTCTGCAGCTCCTACCACTATAAAGGATGAAGCTGGTAATATAGTACAGATTCCAGGTGCTGCCACAGTAACTTCAAGTGGGCAGTATGTCCTTCCTATTCAGAGTTTGCAAAATCAACAAATCTTTTCTGTTGCACCAGGATCAGATTCGTCGAATGGTACAGTGTCTAACGTTCAATACCAAGTAATACCCCAGATCCAGACAGCGGATGGTCAGCAGGTTCAACTTGGCTTTGCAGCCTCTTCTGATAATAGCAGTATAAATCAAGAAACCGGTCAAATTCAGATCATTCCTGGCTCGAATCAAACCATCATTGCCTCTGGAACATCTTCAGCTAATATTCAGAATATCTTATCTGGTCAGTCTGGTCAAGTCCAGGTTCAGGGAGTTGCAATTGGTGGTTCGTCTTACCCTGGCCAAGCACAAGTGGTTGCTAACGTCCCTCTTGGACTGCCAGGAAATATTACTTTTGTACCCATTAATAGTGTTGATCTAGATTCTCTGGGACTTGGCAGTGGTTCTCAAACCATGACAGCAGGCATTAATGCAGATGGGCACTTGATAAATACCGGACAGGCCATGGATAGTTCAGATACTTCTGAAAGGACTGGTGAGCAAGTTTCTCCTGAAATTACAGAAACTGCCACTGATAATGACTTATTTGTGCCAACGTCATCTTCATCACAATTGCCCGTTACCATAGACAGTTCAAGTATATTGGAACAAAATGCAAATGACTTGACCACAACTAGCGGTCAAGTTCATGGTTCTGATCTTCAGGGAAATTACATCCAGACATCAGTCTCTGATGACACACAGGCTCAGAATATTCAGGTCTCCACAGCACAGCCAATTGTACAACACATACAGCTACAAGAGTCGCAGCAGCCAACCAGTCAAGCCCAGATTGTACAAGGTATTGCGCAACAGACAATCCATGGTGTTCAAGCAAGTCAAAGTCTATCTCAACAGGCTCTTCAAAATCTTCAACTGCAGCTGAATCCTGGAACTTTCTTAATTCAGGCACAAACAGTGACCCCTTCTGGGCAGATAACCTGGCAGACATTTCAAGTGCAAGGAGTTCAGAACTTGCAGAACTTGCAAATTCAGAATGCACCTGGTCAACAAATAACTCTGACCCCTGTGCAGACTCTCACTCTCGGTCAAGTTGCAGCAGGTGGTGCGTTGACATCAACTCCAGTTAGTCTAAGCACTGCTCAATTGCCAAATCTACAGACAGTAACAGTAAACTCCATAGATTCTGCTGGTATTCAGCTGCATCAAGGAGAAAATGCTGGCAGTCCTGCAGGTATTTATTTTACTCTTTTTGCAAAAGATTTTTTTTTTTATTACTGCATGTTGTTGGTTTAAATGGTGATAATCAGAACATCATTATCTTGCTATTGAAGCCTACAAAACATAGTGGGTTAAACATGGTGATGATAGTTTTTATTTCAAACTGCTGTTCCATCAGAAACTGTAATTGTAGAATGTAGTCCTACCTCACTCTTTTTAGTATGAGCTCATGTAGCTCCCAAGTAGTCATATTAGTTAACAGCACTTCAGTGTTTGTGCTTAAAGGTCTTAACCTGGAGAAGATCAGTATACTAAATTGAAAAGGGGGAAATCAGCTGCCACTCTTCTAAGGCATCAGTATCATTGACATACCCATTCTTCCTAGTCCTGAGTAGATGAAGTTTCTATGGAAAATCCCAATATTTCTGTTTATACAACTTTTTTCTCCTTCAAATTTTAAGACCCCCTGGGGTGGTGTTATTCATCTGCTCTTTTGTTAAATTAATTTCCTACTGATTTACTATCAGTATTACTATGATGTAGGAAATCCATGTAAGCAGCAGTGAAACGAGCATGCAAATATCAAAATGGAGTATATGCTTAAGAATATGCATGAATTTTCAGTACTGCTTACTTGCATTATGTTTTAAAGTACAATCATTAGTTATAAATATCACGGTTTTATTTCAGTGGAGAAGAAATATTTTCTTAAAACAGGTGTTTCTTAATGTGAGAAAAAATAAACATGCCTGTTTTTTTTGGTTAAATTTGGTATAGTACATTCCAAATTTCAGGGCATAACTACCTAAACAAAAAGATTGAGAGATGATTGTGGTTTAGGAGATTTTGCTGTACCAGAAGCCATTTAAACACATTATTGGGTTGTGCCCAGGCTAGTTATGAGGGGCAGAATGAGCAGTAGAGATCATTTGTGAGGGAATTCTTGCACAAAATAGCTTGGGAATCACTGTTTCGCTATTTCCATGTGATCCAGCCCTCTGGTTCATCAAGATACTGAACAATAAATATTTAAACAAAACATGCATGGATTTTATTGTATGTCTATTTAAAATTGTGAGAAGAATGCAATGTTAAGTGAAACATGCCTAGAAGACCTACTGAATTTTGTTTCAAAAGGCTACTGATTATAATACCTATATAGTTACTGATACTGCTGTATTCTATGTCAAGAAGCTTGCTTTCCCATTTGAAATCTAAAATTTGAATTGAAAATAGTATGCTGGGATGTTTTTTTGTTCATTTTGTTTTGGAATTGGTATTACAAATTTACCATTAAGTAATGTTATTCAGACCTAGATAAACCTACTCTTGGCTAGTAGGCAACAGCACCAAAGGAATGTGCTCTGCTCACAATATTTGCTCCTCTGTCTGATCTTGATTCTTAAATTTTCTGTTTACAGTGACAACAGGAAGTCTTGGTTTGTCTCCATGACATATTGTTACCTATGAGAGTATAGACATCAGTAACAAAAAGCATATATTCTGCATGTTAATACAGCTCAACTCAAATGTCAGAATCTAAAGAGCCCTTTACTAATTATTATTATTAGCTCTCTGGCTAATAAAAGGAGGATTATTTCTGGGAATTATATTTGGTATAGGATGTTGTAGCTAATGGTATTGCTTATGGAGTAATGTAGCAGAAACTTGAGGAGAAGGATAGAAAGGAAAAAGGAGAAAGAAAACAAAAAAACCCCAAACAAGCTAGGCACATAAGAAGTTGAGTCCGATCTGTGCTATGTATCATTTTGGCTATTGATTGTTCTCAATAATGTTTCAGTGGTGGTTTATAATAAAATTCAAGGGAGTTCCATCAAGAATTCTTTAACTGTATTCTCCTATAAGGAATTTCACATGCGAAGGCAAGAGACTAAATGGGATATATGAAATGTGATTTAGTAGGCAGAAGTACTAGATGAATAGTAGAAACTATTGCCTGAAGTGCACTGCTATAAACACCTGGCTATATTAAAGATAAGATGGAGATTTATAGTGACATTTTTCCTACTTGTCTAGGAATAATAAATGGATTGAAAGGTATTAAAGCTGCCGTTCCCTAAATTTGGGGAGAATGTAATTGGTCCTTCCTTTATGTTAGGAGAAACTCACTTTTCCACAGTAATGATTAGTGTGACACTACTTCTGACAGAATCAGACTGAATTATTTTGATTGACTTCCAGTGTCTTTTCCATATGCATCTGTTATTTTGTCTGAGAGAATCTTTTTCAGAGGTGTTTCTCCCCTCCTTATTTATAACCCCTCACAACCTTTCTTCAGGTTAGAGAATAAATACGCAATTAAAAGAAGATTATGAAATCATAGGGGGTTTTTTTCAGTCAAAAGCATATTGTTGTTTTGCAAATAAGGAAAAACAGTTTAATTTTAAACTGAAAGAAGGTAAGTGGAAGTGGCAGAAGAATGAGAGAAGTTAAATGGTTTGAAGCCACTTGATTCCTTTTTTTGCCATCTACCAACAAACTTTGAAGCAAGATATAAGAAGGGTTTCCCTGTATTTTCTCCCCCAAGCTGAATAATGCACTCCTTTCATACTGAATCAGGCTGTATTTTCTGTTTTCATTTAAGAAAATTTGTCTACCTGAGACAAAAATAGAAAGAATATATTTCTAGTTTTTTGTCAGAGATGGTTGGTAATTATCTGAAGTTCAAATGGTGTACTTTGTTCTGTTAGCAGTGTAGCTGCGAAAACAGTTATGTTTTGGATTTTCATTGTTACAGCCCATTGTATGAGAGATGTTCTTCCAAGGCTCACTCCCCAGGTAGGCAGCAGAGGACATCTTTACTGTGCTTGTTGAGTGTGTGAGAAGAAAAAATGTATTTACTTAGGTCCTACATTTTGTTTACATAATGGAAAGCCATTGAAACCCTAATACAAAACTAATTGCTTTGTCCAGTAAATGTACAGTTTCCTTTGAAAGATGTCCAGTAATTATGCTTCTACCAAAATGTCCATTCTACCAGGCATACATGTGAATAGACCTACATTGCAGTGAATTTGTTCTGAAAAGTCTTGGCCAAGCTTGTTTTGTCTTAGGATGTTTATTAGAGCTTATATTTCTCATTGTGCTTAGTGTTGTGGTGACCAAGGGAAGGGTATTGGTTTGTCACAGCTGAAACTCCTCAACATTGCTTTTCTAGCAAAAAGCTGTATCAAATAGTATCTATATATTAAGCACTGGCAGAGAGATAACTTTCTCACCTGTGTTTTGGCTTCAGTCTTCTGGTCTTGAAAGGAAATTAAACCTGAGAAGGCTCTCTAGTAGTCTACTTCTTTTGTTGGCAGTTTGTAATAAAATACTGCGTTGTGTATAACAAAAAGAGCCATTACATGCACAGTTCACATTACTCTTTAGTGTCTTGCCTGGTCAAGAAAGGTGGAGTTTTTTATTAGCTGTTTATATAGATTTCTTCTTCAATGTAGCGTTTATTTTGGAAAACTGTCAGGAACGGAAATGTATGAACTTGGCCTTCATGTTTCTGATCCTGTAAGTTTTGTCAGCTTGGAAGAATTTTTTAAGTTACAGGATTTTCCTCCTGCCTCCAAGCCATTGTCCAGCTGAAGGAAACTTAATGAGTTAATCAAATTCTAATTGTAATAGTGTCTCAGGTAATTTATTAATGTGCTGAATCAGTTTGGGATTGGTTATTTTCTGGAAAAAAATTGCAATTTTACCAGGTCTTATATAGGTTGCACAACTTGTTATAGGATGCTGGATAATTTCTTTTTATATACTTCTTTTGACCATTGCAGTAGCACCTGAAGACACTAGCAAATGACCAGAAAGAAAGTAGCATTGGCTTGAGAATGGATTTTGCTTCTTATCAACTCAGACACACTCAGCTGGAATATTCATTTATTTAAATAGGAAAAAAAAAAAAATCCTACCCAAAAAACAGTTTTCCAGGTTGGTCTACAGCTGGAATCAAGTCAAGGGAATTCCTTTCAAGAGTTGACGGAAGTGTCACTCCAAAACTGAGGTCTTCACTTCTACATCTTTCTTCCCAGCTCCTCTTCTGCAGGAGTGTACACAGCTACTTAAGGACTCATCTGTCTGCTGCCATTGACCTTAGAGTCAGGCCTGTTGCTAACTTATAACCAGTTGATAGTGAGTGGGAGTGGTTGGCTGTTTGTGGTGGCAACTTCATTCCAATCCTGCTGGAATCTGACGTCTTTGTCATGCCGGAGTAATTTAGCTACTCTAAATTTGACCAAAACATTGGCTGACAATTTTCAAGGTAAATAGTTGCCAAAGTGACAATTTCTCTTTCATCTGCTGGTATCTTGTGAGGCTTTGGTCTAATACATTTCCTAAAACAGTCTAAATGCTGAAGCAAAGAAAAAAATTTAATTAAGTATTCACAGTTTTACTTGCTGGGATGGCTGTTTCAATGTTTTAGTGCTTCTGATGAGGTAGTGCAGAATGCTACTTAAAGCATAGCTGTCTTCTGGCACCTAGAACTTTTTAAAAAGTTTTGGCTGGTTTTCAGTGTTGCACAACTTAATTGTTTCTCTTCAAGTTTCAGTTTTTAACCTTATTAATTTTAATTATGCAGTTTTTCCTTTAAAGGCATTCTTTATAACGACTTTGAGACAAGGCCATGGTATCATTATGAAACAGAATCTGATTTAAAAAATAAAAAAGTCTTATGCATAAAGTAAACTGAAGCAATGATGTTAAGTAAATATTTTCATCTGACAACATCTGTCTACGGCTATCCAGTTTTCATTTTAGGCATTTAGTTTGCATGTTATAAAATCAAAACAGTTAAAAACAATTCTCCCCATTGCTTTTTTAATATGAAAATTAAATTGGAAACTGATGAATTTAAGTTAGTGCAGGAATTAGAGCTATTTATGTACCAATCTTGTGTAAATAGTTTGCTGTCAGCATGCTTAAATTACATTCCTTATTTTAGCATCATTTTCAAAGGAAATTAATAAATTGAGGATGAATTAGATGATCATGCTCATA